TGAATTGTCAAGTAAATATCTTTCTTCAATTTAATTTTCTCCAGGATTTATATTACCACAATTATATTGAGTATCTGGTCATAAAGTGCTGTTATAATGTTCATGTTGCTTATGTGATGCTGCTTATGGCAATGATTACCCATACTCTAAGGACAATTTTAATTTTGTACTTGTGGAAAATAATTAACATCCATAATTATAACAATTATTGATAATTATTTATTAATTAATTATTAATAATTTATGTTTGCATATTTCTAGATTTGCCTTTTTCTCTTTCATTCTTCCTCTATTTGTTTGCTCCTCTCTACCAAAATGTAACTGAAATGAGAAATGTTTGTTTTATCCCAATACCTATGTTATATTGTAGGGACTCAATAATGCTTGCTACATGAAATAATGACATTATTTGTTGATTGTTTTAAATGATATTAAGTCATCTATGGAATAATTTTATTCTTGAACACTATCTCATTCTGAGAATTAACAAGTCCCCTATTCATCCTTAAAGTCCAATGTAAATATAATTATATTTAAAAAAGTATTTCCAATTCTTTTTCAACGATTTTAGGCTACCAGAAACTAATCATTTTGTCTTTCCCTCTATCTCTAGAGTACTTTGCTGACATGTATCATAGGGTGATCATAACCTACTAGATTTTTACCATTATTTTATAGATATAGATTATACTCTCCAATCAGGTTCAAATCCCCAAATATAAAGACAAGGCCATTTTATTCCTAGAATTTGAAGATTCTGTCTATATAACAAGGCTTACCACACAACAAATATTCCAATGATTTGTTCAGGTTTGCCTTTTTTTTTTTTCATGTTTGCCTTTTATTCATTCAACTGTACACTCACTCCATGTCCTATTTAGTGATTGGTAAAATCACTAAATTAAGTGGTTTATATTTATAAAAAATGCCATATCTTCCAGTTTTTGTCAGTGAAACCTCTACTGTCCCTACTTCCAGGACAGCATGAAGGCAGTTCTATGTGTTTCACCATTTGAATTTAAACTGCAATAAAGCTGTTTTATTTTTCTTTCTAAATTTAACATAGTAAATATTTACTTCTATTAGCTTATCAGCCTTTTCTTTTGAAAACAAGCTAATCTGTCTCATATTCCTTGCTCTAGCTATGGGGCTATAGTTTAGTCAACAGAAATTACTTTTAGAGATGTTTAGTATGGCCACTGGTAGAAATGGACAATCTTTTTATTTTCCCCTAGCAGCAAACACTAGTGATAAAGGTTACAAAATCCTCAACCACCAAAGCTATGCCATTGTCATATGGAGAAAGTATGTTTAAGAATAAGACAAATTGTAAGAAAGCAGCAAAGAAAGACATTTTTGACTAACTCATGATGCATTCCCATAAGAATGTGACTTATTTTATAAAAATAGTTCCCTAATCACACTCTTCTCAATGAAAACATGTTTTGAAGATTAACATGGGCATCAGGGATTCATAACATTCCTTCTCATCAGACCCATGTGCACATAACTGTCAGCAGACAACTGTTTCTTCTGTTTTATTCGTAAGAGTAATATTCCAATAAGATATGATAGCTTTGGGAATTGCTTCATTCTCTAACTACCCAGATTGGTCTATATTTATGATTCCTTTAATACTGGATTCTTATTTTTTTTAAATATATTGATTGAAAGGATTAAGTACTTTTTTAAGACTGCAAATCTCGTGTAATAAAATGTAAGACTGTAGATAATGTGTATCTTAATTTGTCTTCAGAGATTCATAAAATCTTTCCTAAACTCTTTCATAATTTGATTCACAATAAGATGTAATGTCATTATGATACAGAAAGGAATGATACAATTTTATTATAGAAATGTGAATGAGAATATTTGCTAAATGTTTTGATTTAATAGCTTTCCTCAGATATACCTAGAAAAATAGAGGTGGCATGTAAAACATAATGAAAAATATATTGAAGCTATTAACCAACAATTACAGACCAAATGTGGATTATTAAGCAAGCAAAACATCAAATTTTTCCTATAGATGCTGTAGATTTACTTTGATTTTCTAAGGGGAGTTTTCTAATTCAGATGCAGACTAATCTACCTCTGAATATTCTTGTCATTTTTTTTTATCAGACATATCATTAAGTAAGGTCTTTGTTCTAAGAACACACTTGGACTTCTATATATACATTTCCATTTTTGTATTAAAGTTAATAATTTCATTAATAAATAAGAATACGGTCTATACTTGAAGGAACACACTAGATATTTCTGTTCCATTTTCTACATATTACTTTCTTAAAAGTAAAGAACCAGTCTTTTCTCTGACTATGTAGTTAATGACTTCCATAATGTCCTTAAATGAACTATTTTTAAAAATGATGGACTTGGATGGATTTATAATAAAGGTAAAATATGTGGTATATGCTCCCATTAGTTAATTATAATTGACAGAAGCTGCGGTAAAAATGTCATTGTTTGGAATATATGTGTTAAAACAAAAATAATGCCTGTTTATATATCAGCAGAGAATATTCATGTATTGAAAATGAATACTAGTTCCTTTAGAACCAGTATTTCTACCAGGGACTCTCCTAGAGGCACAGGTGGTTGAGTGCAGCGCTATGAAGCTGTCCGCAGCCTCTGCAGCACCAGTTTGATCCCCGCCAGACAGGGAGCAACCCACATGGCGGGGCAGACCTCTCCTGTCTCGCCCGCTGCTCCCCTCAGCAGTGTGTTTCAGTTTGCCTGCTCTGTTCCCCACTCTGTCTCTGGTGAATCCTCTCACCTTCCTGTGCATCTGGCCTGTACCCCAGTTCTTGTATGCATGAATAAATAAATCTTTGAAAAAAAAAAGATCTAGTATCTCTACCATCAGTTAGCACTTTATAGTATATAGCCAATTAGCAGCCTCTTAATCTAATATCTTATAAAATATTTATCCTGAATTAACTTTTTTTTGTGTATGGAAGTTCAGAGAAAAGGACTTTTCTCTGTCCTTTATGCATTGATGTATTTAATGTATAATGATTTCCAAAAATTATCTAAAGGCAATAATGTGTCTGGCATGAGAAAGTATAGTCTGTTTTTCTACTTTTAAATATCCATCATGCCACACACAACTACATATTTAATTACTATCTTTCTGTTCAGTGTTTCTAAAGTTATGTGTACTCTGAAAAATAGAGAATGACTCACTGAAAATATTATTAAAAGGCTTGATCTAGTAGGTCACAAATGGTATTTGATATGTCTTAAAACTTGGCTTAAAACATCTCAATTAAAAAAGTGAAAATGGATTATGATGGTAACAAAAACTGCATTCTTAACATTTTTGTTAATGAAATAGAATATGTGTTTGCCTTTTAATGTTACTACTTTATTAATTATGACACACCATAAAAATCTGTAGAATTTAAAAAGATTCTGAAGGTGATTTATACATGTTATATAATAATGAACTAAAAGTAGAGAGTAACATTGGATAATTAATAATATTAACATTATTTCTGGGTATGTAAATTGGCCCAGCCCCTATGGAAAACAGGATAAAGGGCCCTCAAAAAATTAAAAATATAACCATCTATAATTCCAGTTCTGGGCATTTACCTGAAGACTATGAAAACAGTAATTCAAACAGATATATGCACCTCTATGTTCATTGTATTACTATTTATAATAGTGCTATGAAAATAATCTAAGTGCCACTGACAGATGAAAAGAAAATGTTGATGAGGTGTATATACACAATGTAATACTACTCAGCTAGAAAAAATATGAAATCCTGCCATTTGTGACCATATAGATATATTACACTAAGTTAAATAAGTCAGAATGAGAAAGACAATTACCGTATGATTACACTTATATGTAGAATATAAAGAAACAATGCAAATGAACAAACAAAACAAAAACAAAGTATTGGACTCTGACAACAGAATGGTGGTTATCATAGGGGAGGGAAGGGACACGGAAATGGTAGAGTAAGAGTCAGTCAATTGGGTGACCTTTGGTGTCGGGAGGCATGGAATGGTATATACATTTGTTGAGGTATGAAGCACTCTCCTAAAATTTATACCTTCAATATTGTATATAAAAAACTTTCTAATGGTTGCTTAAATATTTAACTGTTATTATTAAGTTTGGGTGTTCAAATCCTTATCACTTGGGGTGCTTGGGTGGGATATCAGATGTCCCACTGCTGGAAGCTTAACAATAAAGTTATTTTACTTAATTTGATAATAATATATATCTTACAATTTACCCAGTAAAAATACAGAAATCATAAATATATATAAATATATAACCAGATGAATGGTAATTTCCAGATCATCATGAAAATTATATATATATATATATACACACTATATATATATAATTTTCCACTTTTTTATTTTTACCAATAAGCATTTTTTGTGTATATTATAAAATGAGTATAATTTTATTCAACCATAAATATCTCAAAGTCAGGGTTCCTGGCTTGGGAAATGGATTACTGGTTTGTAAAACTGTAAGCCTTGGTCTGCTAATGAGCATAAAAGCCTGTGTTAAAACATTAGAACTACTTACTCATTGGATATTGAAAATGGATTACACCTAATTTGGTCAGTCATAAACTATCCTAGGTAAATTTTACCTGAATTAAATATGCAAAAATCCACAAATAACATAAGCATAGTTCTACCACAACTATCTTCTACATATCCAACCTTAAACCACTGAACTGTTCTGTTACACATGCCTGTTTATACCTGGCCAACACCCTAGCAGGCTTGATGGAATTGAAATAGATTCTATTTTCTGTCTCAAATGAAGAGTTTGGTCTGGTGCCACATTCTAGACAATTTGCAGAATGTTGTGTTTTAGTCATCAGAGTGGAAAAGACATATGCTAATTTTTAAATGTTGTTTATCTAAAAACAAAATGTACATTTTAATACTAGTATTCTATTATTCCATTATAAATTGTCTTTTTGATAGTATTCCTAATGCACTGTGTCTTTTTCTTACCTTGTTTTTTTACTTTTTATCCATTATTGAACTGTTAGCATATTCTCAAACACAGCTTGTTTTTCATGTGACTTTTTCAATAAAATTGCTGCAAATAAAGAAAAAAAAACAAAATCACAAATTTTAGAGCCTTAAAACAACAATTTAATTTGTTTCACTTCCTTTGAGTAAATTTGATGGGTCTTCTGATGCATGCGTAGTTATATCAGATGGCCCTAACAAAATACCACAAACTAATAGATTAACCAACAGAAATTTATTTTTCAGAGGTCTGGAGACTAGAAGTCTAAGAAATTTCAAGTTCAAGATCATTTTCTACTAAGAGATTTCTTCTTGGTTTGTGAGCTGCTGAATTCTCCCCGTGATGTCTCTTTTTAGAAGGACACTAATCCTATCGTAAGAGTGCTCTTCTCTTTTGACCTTATTTAACCAAAAGCATTTACATTAAAGGACGTATTACTAAATGCAGTCACATTGGAGGTTAGGGTTTTACATTATGAATTTGGAATGAGGACACAATCAGTCTAAAACAGTGCATATGACCCTTACATTACATTGCTAAGAGCTCACTGTCAATAGTTAGAAGTTACTACCTAGCTAAGCTGAGATCAGCATGGGCGGGATTGCACAACAGTGTGAACAAAGGAAAGAGTGTTCAGTGGGGTCTCTAATTTAACATCCCATCATAGCGCAACTGAAAATGCCAACCACGGCTTCTTTGGCTGGTTTACGGTTGCTTTTCAGAAACATTTATTTTGTCAGTTCCAAATTGACAATGTTTTAATCAATGCTATTAAAGATTCTTATTATTGATAACCCATATCCCTTGGTATAATCAGCCTAGCACAAAGCTTGATATATAGACATCTTGGGATGAATAAAGAATGCCAAAACAGCACTTTTATTCACAAGAATAAATAGAGAGATTGAAAAAAATGTATCATGGTTTTGTGTTTTTTTTTTTCTATTCACACCTTGTCACTATTCATGTGTTTTTAAAAAGGGTGACAGTAAATTGCAATAATTTTTGCACAGATAGCTTTCTGCTTATGTGGGGAAGAGATGTAAGAATCACTTTATTCTATCATTACAAACATTGAAGGGTTTTCTTTGGTTAGATGCTATATAAAGACAACCAAAGGATTTATTCAGAATTATTGATTCATGATTACAAAGTAAATATGAACAACTTAACTACACTTCTAATATGCATAAAAATATACAAACAGTATGCACATGATACCACAATGTAAGCCTGGTGCTAACGCTTGTTGTCTCTCAGTCAAAATATAGGGGATACTTATATACAGGATAAAAAAAAAATCAGTTTATTTGATTTTTTTTAAGATTTATTTATTTATACAAAAACTGGGTTACAGGCTAGATGTGCATGAAGGTGAGAGGATTCACCAAAGACAGAGTAAGGAACAGAACAGGCAAACTGATGAAATACACTGATGAGGAGAGCAGCGGGCGAGACAGGAGAGGTCTGCCCTGCCATGTGGGTATCTCCACAGCTGGTGGGGGATCGAACCAGCACTGCAGTGGCTGCGGACACCTGCAGAAGCTGCGGACAGCTTCACAGCACTGCGCTCAACTGCCTGTGCCACCAGGGAGGCCCGGTTTATTTGTTCTTGATTAATGCCTCTTATCCGCATTATGTTAGACAATCCTTTGCACTCTTACATTTCATTCTAATCTGTTATTTTCTGCTTTTCTACTTGATAACCTGATAATACTGGGTTTTTCTTTTTATTTGCCGTAAATCTCAAAAGGGAGAATTTTTCTGATTTACTTTCTCTGAACTCACAGTATAGTTATTTTTCTCATCTTAAGTGTTACTGCTTATATATCTGTTTATGAGCCAGCATTTGAGATGACATGTTTTTCTGTGTGTTATTTTGGAATACAAATATGTTCTTTGGATGCCCTCAGGTTATGAATGCCCTTGGCGAACTGCAGATTGGGCATTTGGTAAAGGTTGTGGGTTCATAAACACGCCAATCTTTAAGAGACTAAAACAAAATCATCCAACAGATGGATTATTGCATATAGAAGAACATGACTCAAAAGTCTTCTCATCTCTGGTTGTTATCTGAATCTCAAAATCTAAAGTATTCTCCCCCTTCATATTATTCTCACTCCCATCTCTCTTTTGTCTTATGTCAAACTCTTGCCCTCAGTGAAAATACTACTTATAGTCCAAAAGTGACTTTGCTAAGTTTGCACCATCTAATGCCCACGTGTGGAGTATTAAATAAACCATGATGGCCTTTACTTGAATTAAGTTCTGCTTGGAAACATTCTAAATGCGATAATAGAAGCTGTTTGATTTTTTCCCTTCATTTTAACTACGTATCAACACAGAATAGGGAATCTTAGAATAATGAAATCATCCCCCATCTGCTAATAAGTGGTTATATCATTGTAATCCAGATGCCAGCTTCTTTTCTGAACTCACTTCCTTCTAATGTGTTTGAGAAAAGAACGCTGGTCCATGTAATGTGCTGAGTTACTCCCAGTTGCAGCTTCATTGGCATTCATTGCTCAGTGGTGGTTAACACTTTACCATGGTGATGGTCACACATTAAACATCTAGGATCTCTTTAGATAGAAGGATGCCATGTCAGCATGGACATTGGAAATAAAGTGATACAGCAATACCTCTCTTAGGCATTTATCTTAGAAATATGAAAACTCTAATATGAAAATATTTTATATGTGCCTATGTACATAGCAGTGCTGTCTACAACTGCCAAGTCATGGCACCAATCAAAGTGTCCTTGAAGAGATGAATAAAGAAATTGAGAAATATTATATTCAATGGAACACTACACAGCTGTGAAAAAATAAAATAATGGCTTTTAGGACAAAATGGATGGAACTTGAGGTGATTATATTAAGTAAAATAAGTCATAAATTGAAACATAAATACTGGATGTTTTCATTCATCTGTGGAATATAAATAACCAAAACAACACACAAAGGCAAAATACAGTAGGAATGAATCTTGAAATAAGAAGAGGTTAGTGGTTACCAGAGGGAATAGGGGAGAAGGAGGAGAGGGTGGGGGAGTATTGGCATAAATGGTTTGGTGCAAGATGAGTGGAAAATGTAACCCCCAAATTAAAATTTAAAGATTTATTTTACTTATTTATGCATACAGAGCTGAAGTGTACGCCAGAGGTGCGGCAGGGGTGGGTGAGAGGATTCACCAGAGACAGAATGGGGAGCAGAACAGGCAGATCTACTGAAATACACTGCTGAGGGGAGCAGAGGGCGAGACAGGAGAGGTCTGCTGCGCCATGAGGGTCAGCTGCCTGGCGGGGGATGGAACTCATGCTGCAGTGGTGTAGATAGCTACGCAGTGCTGTAACTTAACCTCTTGCACCACCAGGGAGGAAGCCACCAAAATTAAAATTAAAAAAAAAAAGAGGGGGCCACCCCAGTGGCGGAGCGCTTGAGCACTAGGTTGCGAAGCTGCCTGAAGCCTCTGCAGTGCTGGTCCCATCCCCCACCGCCGGGCGAGGGTCCCACATGGCACGCAGACCTCTCCTGCCGCCTGCTGCTCCCCTCAGCAGTGTACTTCGTCAGTCTGCCTGCTCTGCTCTCCCCTCTGGCTCTGGTGGATTCTATCACCCTCTTGCGCTTCTGACTGTACCCAGTGCTTGTATAAATAAATAAATAAATCTTAAAAAAAATAAAAAAAGAGGATTGAATACAAAACCATTGGCTAGTGCTCTTGCTGCCTTATTCTTGTTGTAAGTCATTATATAGTTTCAACTGTCTGATAATGTGACAATTGTGTGAAAAATTCAGCAATATAAAATAGAAAGACATATTCAGATTATGATTAATGATAATTTAGGAACAAGTGTGATATTTGTTAAAGATTTGTTATAGCCTTATTTCTTCAGGCTTCACATTGTTTTATGATAGGAATTATGATAGGAACCTTTTAAGATATTCTCTGATTTTCTTAAACTTTCTAGGCATTTGACAAAAATATTTTTAACATTTATGTGAATTTTTATTGATATAACAGCTATGTTTTCAAATTACATTTATTGAGGTAAAGTTAGTCTATGTTATATCTGCTTGGGGGTACGATGTGAAAACATCATACTTCTACATCAACTTCTACATCAACTTCTACATTGTGGAAGTTTCAACCCATTACAAAAATAATATTAACTAACATAGAAATGGAACTATACTTCTTATATATACATGATGAATTGAATTCTTCTCGGCAGCTTGATGAACAACTGGTAGATCAAGCAATGGAACAGGCAATATGTAATCATTGGAAAGGTCTTCTCTGAGGTAACAAACCTGAAATACTATGTGCTCAAATGGACAGTCCTATCTTTCCAAAAGCTGTGCAAGACATATCTATGATACATAAGGCTACCAAAATTTTTCTAGAATCTAATTAAATCAGGAGTCGTTAAATTTATTTCTCCCAACTTCTTTTCCTTTTTTATAATGCAGTATTTTTTTTGGGGGGGGGGTGAAAAATAAATTTTAGTGATTTTCTTTTACTTTTCTTTTTATTGAGGTAGAATTGATTTACAACAGGGTATATAATTTACAGCCCAAGGATCACCCCTTGCAGGTATTAACCATACTTCCTTTTAAAGTTTCTAAATAATGCCTTCTTTTTATTTTACTAGATTTTGCTTAAACAATTACTTGATTTTTTTCTAAACTTCAAACTTATTCTCCTTTGGTTTAGTATTTTTTATATTCAAGTTCTACTTAACAATGTCTCTTCTCAGAAATAAACTTATCCATGCCCTTTACTATCTGACTAGTTTTGATTTTCAGAGAGCCGTATGTCTCACTAAAGGTCTACCGTCAAACATACTAATAATTCCTTTACGGTCAATATTTTTGCTTTGCCTTTTTTTTTTTTTTTTTTTAAGGGAAAGCTTTTTTTTTTTAAGATTTATTTATTCATGGGGTATAGGCCAGATGTGGGGGAGGGTGAGAGGATTCACCAGAGACAGAGTGGGGAGCAGAGCAGGCAGACTGATTGAAATACACTGCTGAAGGGAGCAAGACAGGAGAGGTCTGCCGTGCCAT